AGAGGTTTTGGTTCTTGCAAAAAACTATAAAGTTATTAAAAAATCTTTTTCTATAGAAAATGGTTTATAGCAAATTGTGATTTGGCCTCCCATTGTATTTAATTTTGCATCATCTATCTCAGAGAGTCGTATTTTTCTTTGGCATCGATGATTGGGACATCCAAACTCCACATTATTTAGAAAGATCATTCCATGTATAACTGGATATAATTTAAACATTGCAGATGTATACTCTATGGAATTATGTCGTACATGCATGCAAGATAAAATGATTATTTAGCCTTCAATTTCGAAACTTCTACAAGAATTACCACCAATGCTTGAAAGATTGCATGGTGATATTTGTGGTCCTATTAATCCAATATTAGGACCATTTAATTATTTTTTGGTCCTTGTTGATGCATTAGGTAAACGATCACATGTTTCATTATTATCAATTCGAAATATGGTGTTTGCCAATCTTATATCTATGCTTATTTGCTTTCAGGCACATTTTCCTGATTATGCTATAAAAACATTGCGTATGGATAATGCAAAAGAATTTGCATCAAAGTCTTTTAAAGACTATTGTACTACAACAAGAATCGAGTTGACATATTGTATTCTATATGAACATGCTCAAAATGGACTTGCAGAGTCATTTATAATGCATATACAACTCATTACGTGGCCACTCCTCCTTCATGCAAATCTACCTGCATCTATGTAGGGTCATGCAATTTTACATGCTATAGCATTAATATGCCTCTGCCTTTCTTCTCTTAAAATTATTTTACCACATGAGCTCATTTTGGATCGTATTCCAAATGTATCTCACTTACGAGTATTTCATTGTCGTATTTGGATTCCTGTACCTGAACCTCAATGGCTTACCATTGGAGCTCATCAATAAGAAGGCATATATGTTGATTTTGATTCACTAAGCATTATTCGTATTATTGATCCATCAACTGGCACATTATTACGTGCATGTTTGCAAAATTATCATTTTGAAGAAATTGTATTCCCATCTCTTCAAGGAAGAATATCCAATCAACAAAGAAATAAAGTACTCATATTTGAAGCACTAGAAACGTTTACAATGAATTCCGATCCTAGGACATCTTTCATAGAAACTGAAGTTGCTAAGATTTTGCATTTAAAACGGATCGCAGATGAAACTTTTGATGGCTTCAATGATGCACCTAGAATTACAAGAGTTCCTATTAATGAGGCTCAGAATGCACTTGCTCAGATTGCAGTGCTATTGATTACAATACCTAAAGTTATAACAACAACAACTAAAAGAACTCGTAGACCAGATAAGCAACCACATAAGAAGAAAGCTATAAAATTAACTAATCCTGGTATTATTTCTTAAGAAATTGCCACTCATCTTGTAGGACTACCAATTCATGATGATATATCGATGCATAATGTACCTTCAATTCCTATCAAAAACAATCTTGGAATTGGAAGGAAATAGAACAAGTTGAGTAAAGAATTATCTATTCTGTATTAAGTTATAGATGATATTTGGGACAGACCATCTATTACGATAGATGAATCATTTACATATTTGATTATAGAAGCTCTTTCTTGCAAGGAAGATGATCCTGAACCTCAAACCATCAAAGAGGCAATGGGTCGCTCAGATTGGTCAAAATAGAAAACTCCTATTGAGGAAGACTATGCCTCTTTGCATAAGAGAAAAGTCTTTGGTCCAATTATAGACACTCTTACATCTCGCCCTGTGAGATATAAAATGGTATTAATATGGAAACAAGATGCTCAAGGCCAAATAACCTGCTATAAAGCTCGTCTTGTTGCTCAAGGATTTACTCAATGATTTGGCATTGATTATGAATCCACATATTCTCTAGTCATGGATTCAATTACATTTCGATATATTATTGGAATGACAGTTCATGCCATCCTTGAGATGCATCTGATGGATGTAGTAACTGCATATCTATATGGTTCTCTTGATATAAATATTTATATGAAAGTTCCACTTGGCTAAGAAATAGGAACTCCAAATCAACTCGCTTTAGGAAAATATCGTGGTATTAAATTATGTAAGACCTTGTATGGTTTAAAACAATTTGAACGAATGTGGTATCAACGTCTTTGAGATTATTTAATTACAAATAATTTTATAAGTGATCCATTAATCCCTTGTTTGTTTATCAAACAAGATAAAACTGGTTTTGTGATCATCGCTATATATGTTGATGATCTTAACCTAGTGGGCACTACATCTGCATGTGTTACACCTATAAACCTACTTATACGTGAATTTGAGATGAAAATACTAAGAAAAACGACTTTCTACATTGGTCTTCAGATTATGCATCTAACAGACGGTAGCATTTTTCTCTACCAACTAACGCATATTAGACGAATCTTGCGAAAATTTAAAATGATTGATGCTTATCCATTGTCCACACCAATGGTTGCACGTGGCCGTGATGGTCATGATCCATATTGTCCATGCAAGGAGGAAGAGGAAATATTGGGAGACCAATATCCATACCTTGCAGTAGTTGGAGCACTTTTGTATTTAGCTACATCTACAAGACCAGATATTGCATTTGCAGTTAGTGTTCTTGCAAGACATAGTGCACGTCTAATACTACGACATTGGAATGGCATCAAACATTTATTATATTCTTTAAAAGGTACTGAAATCTTGGGATTATACTACACACAATCCATAGATCCAAAATTGGTTGGATATTGTTATGCAGGATATAAATCTGATATTGCAACAGCTAAATCTCAAACAAGATATGTATTCTTAAGACATGAAGCTGCACTATCATGGAAATTATTGAAACAAACAATAACTGCAACTTGATCCAACCATGCAGAAATCATTGCCTTACATGAAGCATCTCAAGAATGTATTTGGTTGCGATCAATTGATAAATTTATTCAAACAACCTGGGGATTTTCATATGATGATTCTCTAACTATCTTGCATGAAGATAATAGTGCTTGTATTGCACAGATGCAAGTTTTTTTCATTAAAGGTGACAGGACAAAGCATATTGATCCAAAATATTTTAGTTATACTCATGTCTTGATTACTGATCAAGCACTTATAATTAAGAAAATTGAATCTACAAATAACCTTGCTGATATCTTCACCAAAGCTCTCCCATTAAGCAACCATCATCGACTTACTTATGGCATTGGTATGCGGCGACTTGCTTTTCTTGAATAAGAAAGTTAATGAGCTCTTTAAATAATTAAAGAAAATGATGTTGTACTCTTTTTCCTTCATCTATGGTTTTGTGCTTAAATAAAATAAGGTTTTTCTAGATAAGGTTTTAATGAGGCAACAATTATTGATCTTGTAAGATCACAGAAAAGTATAGATCATGATTCTATACAAATTTTATATTATGTAAATATTATGATGAGTGAGGAGGAGTGTTGAGATCATTAAATGTAGCCGACGCTCTCCATAATATTTACTATAGACTACAGTAAATACCATAGCTATAGTATTTAGAATCTAATGGAGAAGTATTGTTTATCCTCTCCTCTTTTCTCTTCTTGTATACGAGACACAACCAGATCAATAGATTTTTGTGTATGAAGCTCTCTCTCCTTAGAAACCCTCTTGTGTGTATGACTTACTACTACTCTTGTGTGTGTGTATGACTTACTATTACTCTTGTGTCTTTCTAAACATTCTCAACAATAACAATGGCATTCCAATGATAAGCCCCTCGAAATAAAAATAAAGTAAAATATAAAAACTGTTCTAGAAGTGAAGATGAGATAAATTAGCACCTTACCATGAGGCAAAAGGAAACCAAGCAAACCACAGGGCAGTGAAGTATGAGCATGATTAAAACATGGTGCACATTAAAACATGGTGCACAGTAATTTATTTAAACAATGATGACAGAGTTGAACGATTCTGCCTCTGAAAAAGCGATGCTGCTTGAAATCATTTTCAGTGTTGGATGACAATCCATTTTCGAATGCTATGCGAGTTGAACAGAACACCATATTTTGACCCGCAGAACCATGAAGAAAAAACGGAGGACCCACAAGGAGTGAGAGAAGCTTACGCTCTGCGAGTGTGAGGGCACCACTGTATATCTACAAGCGGAAGCATATGCTTATGTGGGGGCAACAGCAGAGTTCACACGCAGATACCATATTTATAAAAACGCAGGATCCAAAGACGTACTCTAAAAAAGCGTACCTACTGAACTGGACATGCCCGAAATGGGTGTCTCTCTCCGATACTGCTGCCCTCGCTCCGCTCTGCTCTGCCGACAAGAGCATCACCACTGCACGAGGAGTGTCTCGATTTGCGTTACATGCTACACTCGCTATACAGATCATAGTATGTTTATGAGAACAAATCATTCTGCCGCTGAACCTGTTTTATCTTCCCTACCCACGAAACAAATAATTAACAGTCTAACTCAACCTCAACTGCACTAGTTACTACTCTCTTAACAAAACTGTTATCACGAAGATCTTCACCTCATCCGGAAATGCGACAGATTTGACTCTCAACCTCTCCGACTTTCACAACACACCCGCTCATTCACATCCGTCCTGGCTAACGTGCTATCAATCCTCCTCACTACGGTTCGGTGTTCCTATGACGATTTCATTCTGAATTTAATGCGAAGGCCATCCTATATTTCCGGTTCAGAGTACTTTGCCGAAATGATAGCTTCAAGTGCCTTTGTCAACAATCAACTGTAGAGAGAAAGATTCTTGTACTATCACAACAACAAAAAAAACTTATCGCACACACATTCTGGAAGAAGGAAAAAGTCTTTACTATATTCTAAAGAATACGACTTTATAAGTGGACAATGTCACAGTATCCAGAAACAAACCCCAGCTACCCTTACTTAAAGAGCACTTCTTGAGATGCATACCCTGTACAAGTAGAGATAGTTGAAGTGAAATTACATGGACCCTTTCCTATCTACTATTTGGCCTTGTTAATGAGATAAAAATAGTAGTAAAACATTGCAATGTGTTCCTCCTTCCTCCAAAAGCATCTATCCGATTTATTCCATACTTTAATTACAAGTGTAGGTTTGTCCATTAAAAGTCAACATTCTAAGAAGTAATTAAAATTTCTCTGTTCAAAGGTGACTTTACACCATTATGTGCAAGTCGACAATGAAAAACAAGTTACCACCATCTCTGGTGGATGCTATCTACAACTAAAAGCCAGAAAAAAAAACATCCAAAATGTAGCAGTAGTTCCTCATAAGTACCCTCGGAATTCCAGCCGATTGCCACATGCAGCTTGCTGTACCCATGTGAGATTACAAAATACTGCGATGATCACTTTCGTGAGCTATACAAAGACCACTAACTTGGATGTTGAACGCACATTCACCCCAGGATGTTCAGTAAATGTCGATTAGATCACCTGTTATACGCAGTGATTGTAGTCAGTGGTCAAACTTATCCCAGGAAAATGCAGGGGTGCTTATGCAAAGATGCAAACTCGGCCCTTACGTGTTATGGACCATGTGAAGCAGTTATTTTGTTAGTAAATAACACGGGAAATCAAGGGTTATTGACAGAAATAACTGAATCGACAAAAACTGTCATATGGCTGCCATAACAGAAGTATTACATGATCATTTAGATAAATTCGTTTCATTAGAAAAAGGACGGACGCACCTAGGTGAAGGACTCGGACTGGAATTATGTCGCAATCTCCGATTTCTCATAACAGTCACCTGCGCAAACAAGGATAACATATCAACAACCTTACGCACAGCAATTGTAAGCAAGTTCCAGTAATACACTCCCGACTAACGAGAAGTTCCGGCCAAACTCATCCTACTGAGAAATCGACACTCTCAACATATTCGAGAATGATCAAGAAGAAGCCAAATAAATACTAAAAGAATGATAGAGACGCATAGGTCCCTAAAGTAGTTGAAAAATCAGACGCATTAGAACCAAAACAAGCGTATGAAAGAACATCGTAGACACCTGATTTAGCATCGGAATCCACTGCCGAATCGTAGTGCGAGGGAGCAGATGGCAAGAATGACTCAAGCTCCTTGTAGCCCTCCCAAGGCTTCACCCACACTTTAGCATCATAATTCTTGGGTACACCATTTTCCATAACTTCAATAGTAAAATAATACATCTTTCCTTGCACCACTTGCTCCTTGGCCGACAAGACTTTCGAGAAAGTGATAACTGCAATCGAATTCTACATCCGAACACCAGATATACAGTTTGTCAAAACTAGGTTTTCACGTCACGCGTGCACGACCAAACCCTGAGCGAATTCCAATCTTCCCAGGATTCAACCCCTAATTCTACATTACATGACAATTTCACTACCGCATACCTGGCGTGATTTGTATTGGTCTACTGCAAAATTCGCCAACTCGTCTATCTCCACACTGTTGGGGAAATTACTGATATCCTTCGGGCCTCCGACAGACATGGCTTGAGCTCCCACCAGATAGATACCGAACAGGCACACGGCCGCCAGAAGCACCGAAACCTTGTGATTAGGCGCCATCCTTCTCCTCCTCCTCCTCAATACGCTAAAATAATTGAGCCCTAAAAAAGACTTCGAGGTTGTAACGCAACCCTCCTCAATGAGTAAACACTAATGCCAGAGAAATCGATTTGTGAGGGACGATGTTCTACGTGTAGAAGCATTTCTTCGAGAAGGCATCCTCACGTATATCCGACCCGTCGTGCCACATCGGACTAATTGTGAACGCCACGTGTGTTGCAGATTCTATTCTAGCTTGTGATAACTTTAGCAACACGAAAGATACTGTAGGGTGACACGTGGTAAGCCACCAGTGGCCTTCATATGAACCAATGAGAGTGATGTATTTAATAGAATGGGATAATTGGTGTCGTTGTGTTAGGCACGGAATAATTCATCTAAGTTTGTTGATGACCATTTTTTGTAATTTCACAATAATTATTTATATATTTATATACATATATACAGAATGTGGCTCTTCTACATTATTTGTTTAAAAGCAAGGTCAATGGAATACATCTAAGACAAGAGTCGAATTCCAATGAGTCACATATGCATCTCTTGCACAAAATGAGTTACACCATGTATTGATTTCAGTAAATTAATATGTTTATGTAGACCATTGATACTCACGTTGCAACTTATGGCTAACAAGACACGTTTGTTGATGTGTTTGTTATGTATTCTAGAAAAATCGTATATGACAAGGAAAATATAGAGTGCATTGCAGCTAAATAATCATAGGAATAATAAGAATAAAAAAAAAAAGTTTTGTTATTCAGTTTATACTAAAACTATTTGAATTGTTTACACAAAAACATTCAACTATCAATATTATTGTTCACGAAATTCAAATTTTCAATGTCTTTAATTGAATATATCCTGCAAATGTTTATGTCTAAAAATAAAAAATTGGGTTGTTTAATTAGTTAACAAATTGGGCTATTTAATTAATTAACTAACTAAAATCTATTGTCCCACACATATGATACATCCACGTCAAATTGGATGAAGTTAAACATCACAAGACGACTTTCATCAACGAAAATTGCTATAAAAATATCGAACCGCGCAGAGCCGCAATCGGAAGATTCAAGCTCTGCCCACATGGCACTCTTCGGAGCAAGTGTCCAGCTCATCTCAGGTGGGGGCCTAGCTGGCAAATCGCCACGTCGACAACCGCGCGGCTTTCGATGCCCGACCAGGAGCCTTCGCGGACCTCAGCCCGCGCATTCCCGCCACGCGAGAAACGAAGAAATGCTGAAATGGGCTTTAATTTCTGAAGCTCAACTTGCGCATTTGAAGCTGCAGCTTGGAAGTGTCAGGGTTTCCAAGCAAGTTAGCACACGAATAAAGCAGGTTTGCTTTCCGGCTCAGGTGATCGCGTCGTGATCACAAGCATCGGCGCCGCTCACACTGACGAGTGTGCCTTACGTGGCAGAATCGCGAGTCCCTAACGCGGGATGCAATAGGCTTTCCCTATTCGGTGTCTGGAACAAAGGTTGTTGGATTCTGTAGCTAAAATTGTCAGTTGCTTGCCGGACTCTTCCTTGGGTAGTGTTTGAGTCACGTCTGAGCTTTTTTCGAAGCGCACGATTGAGTCAAGAGGTTGTGGTTGAGTGAACGTGTCGGAGTAGCGGCAGTGTTCGAGTGATGAGTTCATAGCTGCGGAGTTTTTTCGTTTTTATCCATTTATTTATTTTTATTGGGAGGAATTTCGAGTTGTGATTTGATGACGCTCACAGGGATTCAGGGGTTTTGGTTTTACAGGTTTGTGGATTTGGAAAGAATGAATGTTTCGTTTTCGTTGGGGATGGTAGGTCTGTTGCACTAGAATTGGTGGATGCTGATTTTATTGGTTTTTTTTTTGGATCTTTCATTTGTAGAAATAAGCGTCTACTGTGTTCCGGAAAATATGCTTGCGTTTCTTGGACCTTGTATATCTAAGTATGCCCTGTTGTGATATTTTTGAACTCTCAAGAACAGGATAGTAGGGTCTGATGGAGAGCAGTTGTATTTCACTTGCAGAACGAAGTCATTCTCTACTGATAAATTGTTAAATATTTCACCTATTGAATGCGACTGATCTGATAGAATTGATGGCTCCGGTCTGTCGTGGATATCCACCCATGTCACTTAAGAGATTCGTCTGCCACGTCTCAATGTGTCTACATAGACATGTTGTGAAGAGATCTGGAGGGCGAGGGTGTTAATTTTGGTTATGTGGTATTTTGGCGTCAATCGGAATTGCATGTTTCCAATGGAACTAGAAGAAGTGCAAACAATCCTCAACGCATGAGATTTTTACGCTTTTTAGTTGAATTTGTTATGCTGTTTTGTGCCTCTCTTCAGCTTTGAACCGTGTAATTATTTTGGATTTCGGTATGGTCATCGATTCCTGTTGATAAGTGGATCGAAGGCGTGTGTGTGTTGCGGATTTTTCCTCCTCAACCGCTATGGTCAAGTCGTGTGTTCTGAGCATGATTGTATGTGGTAATGCCTCCCTGTTGTTTGATAATGAGAATAGTTTTTTTACTTTGTTTCCTGGCTTTTGGGGTTACCAGTGGCTAAAAGCTATGAGTCATGTGGGAAATGGTGGTTGTGTTCTAATTTCAATATCCTCGCATTAAGGATGTGTTGTCTGTAATTTTGACCTCTACATCTTCGTGGCATGCTCCAGGGAGGAATAATTCATGACAAAATGAGAAGACAGAAGCTTGATGCAACTGGCATTCGTTGCACAGCCAATTCGGAAAAGCCTTTGCAAATGTTTTTAGCCACAGGATAGCCTCCGATCAAGGTTTTAATTACGCGAACGGTGGATCGAAATTTTTTACTTGTGTTCCTACACCATATTGGGAACGTATTCTGCTGATTGTTGCGTAGCGGAAAGGCTGATTTAGCTATTACGAATTTCGAAGAGGCCACAATACTTTGCTTCATTCTGCAATCAATTACCCTGTGCTCTATAATCGGAAGTTTGTAGTAGAAAGATTTCAAACATGTCAGACATGGGGCTACCAGTTCTAATCATGGGTCGGAAAGCGTGGCTAAAGTTAGCTGAGCCTACAATGATTGAAAGTTTCGCTTTGAAATCTGGGGAGCTGTCCTTACTTACGTGGGCGCTGATGATCTCGGCTGCATTTGTCATGTTTGGTCTGTGCCTCTCATCCTATCTTTTATTTCACCACCTATCAGGCTACAATAAACCCACGGTAAGTTTTTGAGCCATAAAACATTTGATCACATTAAGAATCATATAGTTCATGGGACTCGTAGAACAAGTCTTGTTCGATGAGTTACTCCCTTGCATGGGAGTAAGCATCTTTACTTCAAAGGGAGTTTTGGAGTGGATCTATGTCTGTTTTAAAGAATTGGATGTGTATAGTTTTATTATTTGCTATCTTATTTTTTTTATTAGTCATCCTTGGTCACGAAGTATTTTACAATTCGTGGACGAAGCGGGATAACAACTTGGTTGTTTTTTGTGGTGATACAGGAGCAGAAGTGGCTGATAGGTATCATTCTCATGGTTCCTGTTTATACTATTACGTCGGTAATTACCTTAACCTTCTGTGGTTGTTCGGTGTATCACATTTATATTGTTAGTTCTATGTGTTTCAACCGGATTCGTTTATTATAATGTTATTCTAGAAAATGAGATTTAAATGGAAGACTTGTGTGCAAACCGATTTTGATCCAGTGCACTTCTGCATAGGTTTCAGTTTTCATCATTATGTTTTCCCATGTATTCGATATACTTCGAGATCATCGGCAATTGCTACGAAGCATTTGCGTTGTATTCCTTTGGACGGTACCTCATTGCTTGCATGGGTAAGTGAGATTTGAAAACTTGTCCTTAGAAGCCTTTTTTTTACTTCTTTTTCTTTCATTGAAGGATGTGTTGCAATCATGACAGGCTCTCCATCTAGTGATTTGATTTGAGTTTGAATGCGGATTGTGTGGAATTTGTGGGATCAGATGCTTAGCATTTGCTAGTCTATGGGGATGCAGGAGGAGAAGAATCGGCTGTTCAGAGACTGATCAAGCAAGGCGCAGAAGGAGGAAACGACCCTTTGCTTGATAAGGAAGAGGGGCCACATGAGGTGGTTCATCCAGTCCCTCTTGGATGGGTCATGCACAACTGGAAGCTTGGTCGTTCTTTTTTCGACTCCGCTAAGTTTGGCATTGTTCAATATGTGAGTTACATAAGACACCGAACGTTCATTGTATACGTTTTAGTATCATGAAATAACTTGAATTTTTGGCTGAAACGTGAAGCGAAGGTTGTTAAAAAGATTGATAGAGCGAGTGCAGACACTACAGCTTTGCTTACGCAATCGAAAAATATTAGACTTATTTGGGATTAAAGCTTTCTTTACAATCTTACGAGTACTTCAACAGCTTTAGGGTGGCGGAAGTTTATGTGTTCCAATGTGTTAAAATTAATTACTTGGTGGATGTCAAGGGGGATGAAGACTTTGTCTTGGCTGGAGGATTTTGTTTTGGAGGCTTCTTTGCTTGGGATTGTCCATGTATTAATGAGAACTATTCCAGACTCGTATCCAGCTTTTCTCGGTAGTGTTGATATGTTCTTTTGCTTCATTTCCAGATGATAATCAAGGTAGGTTGCTCGTGGGTGGCGTTTATTCTGAATATGTTTGATTTATATGGCGAAGGAGAGTTCGATTTCTCCATGGGGTGAGTTATCTCTGAACTCCACCTCCTTTCACTCGGAGATGTTTTTCTGTTCATATCATTTGTTTTGCTTCTGCAGCAGCTGATTCTGTGAAGTCCTTCATGCTGATCTTAGTCTTAATTTTTTCATACGCTAACGTTGCTTTCTTGAATGCAGGTACCCGTATATTACAGTTATTCAGAATTTCAGTCAGATGTGGGCCCTCTACTGCCTCATCCAGTTTTATTATGTCACGAAGCATCAGCTTCACGAAATTAACCCTCTCGCTAAGTTTCTGTGTTTCAAAGCTGTCGTCTTTGTGACATGGTGGCAAGGTGTGATCATTGCGTTGCTCTTTGATACGGGATTAGCAAAGAAGTGGCTGCCGAGTCACACCTCACAAGAGCAGACTGATATGCTCCAGACCAATTTTCAAGATTTCCTTATCTGTATTGAGGTAAGCAGTATTTCTTTCTTTCTTTCTTTTATTTTCCTTTTGTTTTCCTTTTATCTTGTTTTACTTTTGAAACAACCACAATAGCTTCAGCCCTTCATTTGTATTTTTTCATTTTTCATTTTTTTGTATTTTTATGAAGTATCAGATTGGCACAGCTTATCAGGGATCGTCATCGTGTTTCGGTGGATGCGTGTTTAACATTCCCATTCTATCTCTTTGTTTAATAAACTCCCCTCAGCTTCACACAACAAAATATTGCTCTTGTTTCGAAGACGATTTTAATTTTCGTTTAAGTATGTTATTTCTGTTTGTACAGATGGCCATTGCTGCAGTAGCGCATATTTATGTCTACCCAGCAGTGCCATATCGAAGGGAAAGCTCTAAAAATTTGAACAAGCTTGACAGTGTTGCCTCTGAGTTGGAAGAAGACATTGAAGTTGCTGCTACTAGTTTAAAGGAAAGCGTGAAAGACGTTGCCGTGGGTGGCGGAGAACATGTAAGTGCAACGTGTTTTGTGGTGTCTGGTTTTTAGATTTAATTTTGAAAGCTGGAAAGTGCTCACGATATCAAGCATCACTAATTAAGATTGATTACCTAAACCTGTGTTTCTTCTTACTCTGGAAAGCTCTCCCTTTCGTAGAGACATCGAGAAAATAATCACTTGGTTCCAAGTTTGAAATTATTCAATGCTAGTTTAATTCCTTCTTAAGTATTTACCAGCGGCTTGCTGCTTCGGAGCTGGTACTTTTCATCTACACTGTTACCCTTCACCGGCTGATTTTCTAGTTCCTCATGTGTGCTGATTCTTGTTACTGGAGAGAAATTTGATTGATCCTTTGGTTTTCTATTTGTTAGCATGGATACGCTCGATTCATCAACCAGAATTAATGTTGTTCTTAAGGCTCAAGAATATAACCAGGCTTGCGGGGGTTGGTGCGGCAGGTTGTAGAGGACGTGAAGACAACTGTGGCACAGGTAGTTGAGCCTGTCGAGTCCGGTATTACAAACTTGAATGAAACATTTCAAGTAAACGTTTCAAAAGTAAATGCAAAACTACAAGACAACGTCTCAAAAATAAATGAAAACGTTCACGAAAAGGTAGAGAAGTGGGGCGGCAAGAGGAGCCAAGAGGTTCGCAAAGAAGGTCAGTATCTTGTAAACCAAGGCGACGCGGATGACACCGACATAGTGCAGACAGAGGAACATGTCCGTGTCGAGCACGAGACCGACAAGAGCGAAAGTTCAGGAAGGTTGCATTCAGAACAGTCCAGTGCTGAAACCGGAGTTATGAAAGAGGAGGTTTCAGGTACAACAACTAGCCGTAGTGCTGGTGAGGATGTCCCAAGAGAGGAGACCACCAGTTTCACTCAGCAAAAAGAGAAAAAAGGAAAAGCAGAAAAGAGAGAAACAAGCAGCGAGACTAAAGAGATAGACGATCGTGGGAGATTAAAGAAGGACGAGGGCTTGAGTGTAGATGAAATGTACCACCTCAACAACACAGGTGATGTTGCGAAAAAGGAGACGACTGCACACAAATTTGAGAAGAATGATGCAGGAGAAGTTGTGAAGGAAGAAAGATCAGAAGAGCGAGAAGAATTGGACGAAAATGGTCACATGTCTAAAAAGGAGGTGAAGAGGAATGTTGAAGACGGGCAAGTTGTGGACGCTTTGGACGATAATTGTCAGGGTTGAGCATTCTGAAAACGTTGGAGCAAGGATTCATCCTGGCTAAAAACTCTCTCCCAGTAGGGTTCATCTGAGGAACAACCTGCTATGTACAGTATGAATCTGCGAATCGTTTTTGACCAGAGCAAGCTCAGAGAGGGTAGTGCCTGAGCAGACTGGTCAGCCCTTGCTGACAGGTGTAGAATATGATTAATCTAAGTCTGGTAATCTTCAAGTAAGCTTTGAATGCATGTGTAATAGGATTGCTAGACCTTCCATGGAAGCCACACTGCTGAAATCCAACGCGTTGTTTACTTGAAGTTTCTGTGGAGAAATTTACTGAAATCAAATTTGCAGGTTGTGAGGTTTACAACTTATACTGGTGATAATCACCTGGATCAATGTGATTCATGTCATGTCTTTAAAGCTGTAAAAGTATTGACGACGTATCTAGGATTAGTCTAATGAGAGTACAATTCTTCAGCGATAGTGGGTGCTAATACCGAGTTCTGTGGTGAGCGAATTGATCCTCTTGTCAACTCTTCTTTCTGCATTTTATTATAGTAACTAAGCCCTATCCAAAAGCTTTGAGGAACGTCATGAATTCCGTGAAGTTCAGCAGAGTAGTTTCAAAGCATGATCTCTTCTGCTCCATTTGGCTCTAGCTAATTTTAGGCTCAGCTGTAAGAAAAAGAAAATTGTTTTAGTTATTTTACTGAAATGAAATAATTATAGTACCAAAATACTACAATGTGGAATCATCAAATTCTATTCTTGAATATTTATATTTTACAAAAAATAAAATTTTGGATTTGATTGATCCTCTGTGCATTTACTTTTGGTATTAATTTTATAAATATCCAAAGTAAATGCACAAACAATTGTCAAAACTCTAATAGCCAAATAAAGTGCAATGCCACAATCTACATGTTGATATCCACAAACTTTGCCTTATACACCAAGTATGCATTGTATCTATCTATACAAACCACTTTTCACTATGGGCATCAATATAAGTGAAAATAAACTTAGAATAATCTTTTATAAAAAGTTGAAGTAGCGACTAAGTGAGTGGTGGTTCATTAACAAGTTGATGTTCCTAAATTTGTATAGATGGATTATTTTCTAGGAAAAAAGACCAATACAAAGAATGGCAAGTTGCTATTCTATTTTGAATCTAACTGCTAAAATGCAAAGATTAGAACTATAATCTAAATGTAATTATAATAGAAATTTCTTTATAGTATTAATAAGTTTTTTTTTTTTTTTTTTTTTTTTTTTTTTGCAAAAAATGTATGAGGTTTTTGTTGTACAATTATGCTTTGAAATTTGTTTGTGCATTTACTTTGGGTATTAATTTTATAAAGGTTGTATGATTGAATAATATACAATAAAAACATTGTATTGTAATTTAAATAACATATAGATTTACAGTGAACTTGAAGTATTTTTATTCTAGTTCTTAATGATTTAAGTCAATATAGGTAATTAATGTCATGGACATAATCATGTAAGTTAGTAATTACATATACAAATAGGTAGAAGTAAGTAAAAGTAGGTAAAAGTAAGTTAATTCTATAGTATTTAATATAGAAGCTTCTTAGAAGCTTCATAGACGCTGCTTTAACTTCATAGGTGTCTTTAATTGACCTTTTGGATTAGAAACGTAGTCAACAAGTTGGCCATGTGCCACACATGTTGTTAGCTTGAAGATCAAGCTAACTATGTGTCCCACACATAGAAAAACTTGCCTTGTAAGTCAAGGCATGTGTCCTACAAAGTCAACACATATTGGAGGTCCTATAGAACGTCGCCACGTAGCCCCTAGTTAGATAGTATATATAGAGACAAGAGTGAAGGCTTCTTCACTCTTGTCAACTCTTTTCTTGCTTCTAGTCTAGTTTCAAGGGTGTCACGGCCATAATCATGTAAGCTAATAATTACATATAGAAATAGGTAGAAGTAAGTAAAAGTAGATAAAAGTAAGTTAATTCTATAATATTTAATATAGAAGCTTCCTAGAAACTTCATAGACGCTGCTTTGACTTCATAGGTGTCTTTAATTGACTTTTTGGATTAGAAACGTGGTCAACAAGTTGGCCATGTGCCACACATGTTGTTAGCTTGAAGATCAAGCTAACTATGTGGCCCACACGTAGAAAAACTTGCCTTGTAAGTCAAGGCATGTGTCCTACAAAGTCAACACATATTGGAGGTCCTATAGAACGTCGCCACGTAGCCCCTAGTTAGATAGTATATATAGAGACAAGAGTGAAGGATTCTTCACTATTGTCAACTCCTTTCTTGCTTCTAGTCCAGGTTCAAGAGTCTTTAGTTTCTTGTCTTGTGGCAATAGCCATTCCAGTTTCTTTTTAATATACCTACTTATTTATATTTTGACTTATTATATCGAGATAGCCTTTTGGTGTATATTTTCCCTCATTGAGTCTTTGTCCTTGACAAGGGTCTCTAGTTTTCTTGTCTTTTGACAATAGCCATTCCAATTTCGCTTTCAATATATATACTTGTTTATTTATATTTTGTTACCTCTCTTTGAGTGAAGGCTCACTTGTTTGAATTGTTTTTTCATCGAGTTCTTGTCCTTGACAGATTGACAAGAGTACACCTACAATATCAGAGCTTTGTCTAATCTTCATTAAGAGTGGATTACCCCTTTTTCTTGATAAGATATAAGAATATTAGAAGTTGCGGATTACCCTCTTCTAAACTGATATTGTCCTTAGTATTTTCTTTGTTCTCAAGTCCTCTCTTCTATTTGTCTTGAGCGATATTAGACATCTTCTCTCTTCTAAGTGTTATGATGGCAGAACTTGTTGAAATGAAGAGTGCAATGGCACAAATGCAAGAGCAATTGAGGGAGTTAATACTTTCGATGCATCAACTCAATTTACCACCACAAAGAGCAACAAGATTGGCAGGAAGTGAAGATATAGAAATAGTTGGAGCTGCTTCAACATCTGCACCAAACCATGTCCTTTCTCCTATGGTGGAATGCCCTTCAAATGTTAGAGAACCAAGAATTGCCCTACGCGAGAAGTTTGATGGCACCAGATCCAAGTTTCGAGGATTTATCAATCAAGTGCAACTTGTGATTGAACTTCAACCCCAAAGCTATCCAACTCCAGGATCACAAGTTAGATTCATTGGTACGCTTCTTTCAGGTTCAGCACTATCGTGGTTTTCATCTTTTCTTGAACGACGAAATCCAATATTGGATAATCTAGAGGCTTTTTTGGCGGAGTTTCGATCCATGTATGGAGAACATGATGCAATTTGTATTGCAACCAATAAGATCCGTATTTTACGATAAGGCAATCGATCAGTAACGTTATATGCTTCACAATTTTGACAACTTGCAACTCATATCAAGTGGGATGATGCTGCACTTATTAGCCAATTTCTCTACGGATTATAATATGAGGTAAAAAAATTAATGCTCAACTTACTTGATCCTCAAACATTGAGTCAAGCAATTGACTTTGCTGTGAAGTGCGACAATCGCCTTTTTGAATTCCGATCTGAGAACCGTACAAGTGGACCTCAATGTTACTGTAATTCAATGGCAATACCAACACCTCTTCAACACATACATTCGAAAGTAGAGGATATGCAAATTGATGCAGTATGTTTCAAACCTCTTACTGAGCAAGAAAAGACCCGTCGTCGTCAAGAAGGATTATGTTTATATTGTAGAAAACCAAAGCACACTGCTCAATATTGTCCAAAGAAACGACACAATCACAAAATGAGGAGTATGGCTGTGAAAGACGACAATATGTTGGAAAATGAGTTTGTCCAACTACAATAGGGATCATGCAACTGGAACCTTGCACAACATCTAGTAAAGGTCCTATTCTCTCCTCAGAGCCCTCTTATTGTTTTACATTAAATGTTATTTTAGGACCTAAACATTACAAAGTCTCTGCCTTGTTAGATTCAGGAGCCTCAGCGTGTTTTTTAGATGAAGAATTTACTAAAAGACATAGCATATCTTTAGTTAAGAAAACTAAACCTATTCATGTAGAAGTCATAGATGGTCGTCCATTATCTTCTAGAGATATTACTCACGAAACCCTTCCTATAGAAGTAATAATCAACGGTCATAATAGTTTTATAGTATTTAATATCATTAGATCTCCCTCTAATCCAGTCATTTTAGGTTTATCGTGGTTAGAAAAATACAACCCTCAAATAGATTGGATTTCCCGAACTCTTACTTTCTCTAAAAGTATAACTAATAGTGTAGTTAATCAAGTAGAGAGTCATAAGTTCAGTTCAATTAAACTCGTATTTATAGGTGTAAAAGCTTTCTTGCATGCTGCTATAAAAGAATCACCATATATTATTTATGCCACACCCATTTCTACTGGTAAAAAGACTTCAAGTGGCATTCCAAGCCAATATCAAGAATTTCAAGATGTATTTGAAAAAAAGAATGCGGATACACTCTCGGAACATCGTCCCTATGATTGCTCAATTGACCTTCAAGAAGGAGCATAACCGCCATTTGGACCAATCTACAGTTTATCACAAAATGAGTTGGCTGAACTCAAGGAGTATATTGAAGAAAATCTAGCCAAGAATTTCATACGCCATTCTAAATCTCCGGTAGGAGCTCCAATTCTATTTGTGAAGAACAAAGATGGATCATTGCAGATGTGTGTTGATTATCGAGGACTCATCAAGATTACCATCAAGAACAGGTATCCACTACCTTTAGTATCTGGACTTTTTGATCAGCTGAATTAAGCTAAGATCTATACAAAAATAGATCTTCAGGGAGCATACAATCTAGTACGCATCAAAAAAGGAGATGAATGGAAGACTGCGTTTTGAACTAGGTATGGACATTTTGAATACAACGTCATACCTTTTGGACTTACAAATGTACCAGTAGCTTTTCAATATCTAATGAATGATGTTTTTTGAGAGTTTTTGGACGATTTTGTGGTTTGTTATCTAGACGACATCTTGATCTATTCTAAGAATGCAGAAGAACATGAACTTCATGTTTTTCGTGTATTACAAAAATTAAGAGATGCAAGACTCTATGCCAAGATAGAAAAGTGTGTATTCCACACTACTCAAGTCGATTTCTTAGGTTACATCATTTCAAATGATGGACTTATGATGGATCTTAAGAAAGTTCAAACTATTTTAGAGTGGAAGATCCCAAAAATGGTAAGAGATGTCCAATGTTTTTTGGGATTTGCCAACTACTATCGGATCTTCATGAAAGACTTCTCTCAAGTTGGAGCTCCACTTACACGTTTGACTTATAAAGACAAACTCCAATGGAATCAAGAAGCGGAAGTTGCTTTTGAATCTTTGAAGACAATATTTGTTTCTGCACCAATCTTGTATCGTGTTGATTTTTCCAA